TGTTCCAGGAAAGTGGGCAGGATGGAATATTTCTAGAAACATTTACCAAGTGGACCATGGGCATCCAATACCATGGGAGTCTATAAAAGACACTGAGGAAATGTCCATTCTAGAATCACATATCCAGGAAGAGCACTGTACTTCAGTCAGGTCTGTCTAGTGCCAGGAGAAACTAGATTGGTAATCCCCAAAGACAAAGCACTGGCATGTGTGCACATACATGTGTGTGCACACACACGCACAGGTATGTACACATGCACACACATGCACGGGCATGTACACATGCATACTCGCACAGGCATGTACATGTGCATACACACACATCCACACATCGCGTCGCAAATGTCTTACTGTAGTTTTGAGCTCTAGCGACTTCAGAAGGATAAATGCTACAAACTTGTAAAAAAATCATTTGAAAGCTGATTTGTATTTCTTCTATACTTAGTTTTGTGAATGTTAAATAATACCTTTTAATTTCAATTTTTTGTTTCAGTCCACATATGCTATCTTCAATGGGAGGGGCTGAAACGTTTTCCAGGATGGCACGCGATACACTTACAATGCACCCAAAAAATGGCATTCATCACGTTACGTCTCACACTAAGCCTATAGTCAAGTAAAGGTAATTTTTGCACATGCTACTGTGAATACTACATTGTTCCTAATCAAGCTTGTAGGGCAGGCTTTTTCTTCTTCCTATTTTTTTTTAAACCCTAGAGCACTACTTTTTGTTATACCAACTCAATTTTATCTTCTTAGTACAACCCATCGTGTTAGAATCCTTGTGGATCTTCATTCTGTCTTAGCCACACTGGCTCCGCTCCCCATGGTTTCATCCACACACCTTTAACGTGCTCAAATGGGCATTTCTCATCAAGCTAAACCATGTGGAGTCCAAAGCAGAACCCTGTGGTGTGGACTCCCAGTGAATAAATACAGTCCCTACCTTCAGGGACTTTGTGGGCCAATTCTAATAGAGATCACCTCCAGCACATTTGACATCAACCTATAAATCAGTTCCTTTGGACAGGGCAGTTCAATCCATGAAAAATACAACCACCTATACCACTCAGACCGTACATTTCATCTTAGTCCAGGGGATTTCAAGAGGGTCTATGTCAAGTGCACTGTGAAATTCCCAGACTGTCTGACACTATTCCTCTGCTCCCTCAAGTGAGGGACCCTCCCTAGCTATGAAAGGTAAGATGAGGGGGCAACCTAGTTGCAGCTCCTCTGTTGTTTATGTATTCTACTAACAAACATAATGCTATGACCATCAACAGGCGTTCTAAAGACAGACGCAAACAAACAAATAGAAATTAGTTTACTTGTAACCCAAGTTCAAATGAAATCGGGACAGCTCTCAACAATATATACTGTGGGCTGAATGTTCAAATCCTAACCCCGGTACCTGTGAATGGGATCTTATTTGGAAATAGGGTCTATGCCGATGTTATCAAGTTAAGATGAGGTCACACTTGATTAAAGTGAGCCCTAATCCAATAGCTAGTGTCCCTATAAGAAGAGGGGAATTGGGGCACACGCACAGGCACACATAGAGCAAGGTCACATGAAGACAGAGGCAGAGATTGGAGTGATGTTGCCACAAGCCAAGGAATGCCAAGGATTGCGCCAGTGACCATCAGAAACTCGGCAGAGGCGAGAAAGGATTCCTCCCTGGAGCCCTTTGAGGGAGCATAGTCCTGTCCATACCTTAATTTTGGACTTCTGGCCTCTGAAACTGTGAGACAATAAATTCCTGTTGTTTCACACCACCCAGCTTGTGGTACTTTGCTATGGCAGCCCTAGGAAACTGACACAACATCTAAGCAAACAAATACGTTTAAAGTAATGTCTATTAACATCACAATTGAGAGCACTTAGGAACTGGTTGGTGAAAAAACAAGACGCATATTAGAAAAATCTGCAGAGAGGATGGGAGATACTTAGACTCCTGAGCAGGTAGCAGGCCCAGCAGGGCTGAGCCTCCAGGTCAGATCTCAGCGAGGCAAGTGGGTGAAGAAACAAGCCAAGCAGTTTTGGGGGGGCCTTGGCTCTGGGGCTGAGGGGTTGGACAAAAGGTGGCATGAAGTTTCAGGCTCATCACCAAGGAGTCCACTGTCGTGCAAGGCAGACATTTCTCAACAAAATTCTGTCACTTTCTAATGGCGACAAACCACAGATTCATCAGTTTGTCGTTGACATAAAAGCAACATCATGTTGAGCTTCCTGTCTCAACTTGGCATTTTCCTTGACTATTTTTCATCATTCTAAATTAGACAGCGAGCGGTGCAGGGGAAGGATCTGCCGGCCTATCTATCTCTAGTGCTCTAGCCACCATTTCCAAGGTGCTAAGACTCCACTGATTGGTGACGGTATTGCTAAAATGGTTACATTCTGAACCAAAACAAGGAAGGCGTATTTTTCTACATGTGCAAACCTAGGGGAGGAAGGAAGCTCCCTTGCGGTTTCTTGTATCGATCTGGTTCCAACCTGGCCCCGTGAAATACACGTCTGTAATACAAAGCCCCTCCCTGGACGGACCTTAAGAGATGTCCCTAGGAGCCTTCCCAGCAGTAATTAGTGGGATGTATTATTGCTGATCCTGAACACGCTGGGAGCTGAGTTAATTTTGAAAGATAAAATAAAAGTGCTGCCTTGCGGCAAAAGGCCCCTTCTTGGCACCATTAAATCAAGCACAGCCCTGCACAGGGCCAGGGTATTAATTCTGAAGATCTCTGCACCCCCTGCTGACACCCCTTTTAAGGAAGCTACTATGGAGCAAGCCCAATGAAGCATCGATGTGCAAATACCATTTAGTGAGTACAGATAAGCTGGGCTAAATCGTGCTCAGAGCACTTAAAAATGATTCAAATGTTAATGCATTAGCACTGGAACAGGCTGTACAAGCAACAGGAAAATTGCAGTTGTCAAAGTGTGAATTTAGTCGCAGGGTAAGTTCATCCAAGGAAGTAAAATCTCAATTTAGATTCTTTCTCTACCCGACCCCCTCCCTTCCCTCTCCACGTGCTTCTTTTAGAATGGGGGAGGACGTCGTTACTCAGCAAATGTGTTTCACACCAAGAAATGGTTATATGCATCAAGGGAGAGAATGTGAAGTTCTCACAAAAGTAGCTTGAGGGGTCTTTCACAGGGCCAAACCACAAAAGATGGGTAGGTTGTCCTGTGTGTGTGTGTGTGTGTGTGTGTATCTGTGCTTGTGTACACACCTCTGCATATCTGTGTGCATTCTTTATAATGAAAAAGGCTCTAGGGGGAAATTGCAAGGGATTTTTCTGGCAGTTTTCTGTTGTACTTCTCAGAAAGTCCCCCTGCCCATTGTGGCAGGTGCATGCAGTAGGCTGTGGCATCCAGGCAGAGAGCACATTGTCTGTGGGGGACTGTGGGCTCCACAAGCCTGGCCAGGTGGGAGAAGTAGCCGGTTCTCAAGGGCTTGGGAACCATGGCTCACTCTGCTGATTTGAAACTGAGCTGTATTCCAGCTCGAGTTTGACAGGCTGTTTCTATATCAAAGCAACAAATGGACTTTCATTGCAGAACGCATCTGGTCTCTCATACCATTCTATCACGAGCAGCTATTTTTCTTTACATTGAAAGGCAAGGCAGTTTATTTTTTTCAAAACGGTGCTGTCAGCTCTTCTGCCTGACTCTCACATTCACTTGTTCAACACAAGGGGAAAGCTGTCTCACCCTTAAAAAGGGGTGCGGTGGGAGAGACCCTCCCTCAGGACTTATGATATATTTACATAAATCTTTGTCCCAAAGGGCATGCCTATCAGAGATAAAGATGGGATGCATTTAGAGAATATTTATCTAGGGAAAAAGAGATGCCAAACCATGCTTCCAGTTGGGTTCCTTGGACCAAAATAAATCTCTTTAAATGATACATCTATATATACTTTTATTGGGCATTGAAAGTTTTCATGATAAAGAGACAATTTTTCATATTCTTATCCCACCCTACAAACCCTAAGTCATTTTAAATATGAAATAATTGTAGTATTCTTAAATGCATATAACTGATAGCACACATATATGCATATAATATAGATACTATGTGTGAACACACATTTGCAGTGTGAGGGTGAGGCCACTACATCACATCACTTACCCTATGATCATTAGGGCTCGAGTCTTGCCCATTTAGTTTTTCAAAAGCTCACTAATTTGCTTTTTATCTACACTCATCTAGGCAAAATTTCATTATCACTTCAAAAACCATTTCCAATCAGACAGAATTAGACTTGTCAATAAATACTTAATATTTTCCTAATTAAATTGGAAGTAATATGATCGAGAAGAGTCTCTTCGTTTGCTACAATAATCTTAACCTGTGATAGTGTTAAGATTCCCAGATGATTTATAGTATCAAAAAAAAATCATTCTTAAAAGTCACAACCCTTCATGTTCATTTCCTAAGACATGTCTTTCCCTCTTTAGGAATTGTTCCCTTTATCGATTACAGAGAATCACATTTAGTTTCTTAATGGAAGGAAGCTACCCACCCTCACAATGCGAATGACATGCAAACTCTGAAGTATTTAAAGGAAAGGGGATACAAAACCACATTTCCAGTTAGGAATTAAAGGAGCCCACATGAAAGCTGGGCCTAGACACACACTCAATATTTTGATGATTACAAATCCTTCAGCCATAAATTTTGAGAAAGATATATAATTAAAAATGTAGAAATGTGTACCATGGTTTTCTATAAAACATCAATTTGGCAATTAAGTGGTTATAAATTAGCCTTTAGTAATGTATTCTTCTAGATGATTTAACCTTTCCAATTATCATTTCATCTGTTTTCTATATTTAAAAAAAAATCAAAGAAATTCAAGATATGGAAAAGACATGCTGGGTGAGGATCTGAAACTGATTTGGTAGCTTTGGAGTTGACATAATCTTGGCCTGGTGCAGCTCATTTTGGAAAGCTGCCTCAAATTTCCCCTGGTTTTGAACTTTTTTTTTTTCCTTACCACTTTCATCTAGCAAGAAATCATCCTGGTAACGGAACTTCTCCGGTCCACATGCAATAAAAATGTCATCGTCACCAAAAAAGTCCTGAAGGCACATCACCTACAAGAGAAAAGCATGGCACTCAGCGAGGGGTGGCAGAACAGCAATTACAACAATGCGCCCACCCCCACCGAAGCAGACATCTGCATAAAGCCACCTCCCGCCTAATGGAATCACGGGGCAGCTTCTCCAGAGGAATTTCAAAAGAGGGGTTCGAGCATCTGTTACTAGTAAGAAACATGTTCTGTTTCAGTTCTTGCAGGAAGACGGGATAAGGAAAATAGAACCGGTAACTGTCACATTTATTACTTGATATATCAATAGGCTCTGAGGTAAGAGCCCTTTGTTTCCATAACAGAGTGGACGCAGTCACAGTTGGCAAAGGAGCTCCGCCACGCTCTTCTAGACGGAGTGCCCCCTGATAGCAACGAAAGCTAGCATATGGTTTTAACAACAAATATGTTTTTTAGTAATTCGTGCCGTCATAGGCACACGATAATCACTGAAGAAAAATATTTACGTCATCATATGAACGTAATAATCTCCTTTAGACCCACCCTACCGCTAGCTGAAAGAAAAGTGCAACTCTTTATTAAAGGAATAATAAAGAAATTAAGTTACTGCTGAGGTTGAGACACAGAGATTACGGTAACTGTATGTGTGCCCACCGCCCAAGCTACGCTTAACTTTAAATTGCCCAGGCCACCCACCTTCTTGCTGTCATGCAAAAGGAAAGTTCTAAAGGTAACTTTGGATTCAATGTATTCTCCAATGAGAACTTTAAGAAAGCTGAATATCACTTTGCAAGTAATGGTGGTCAAAATGAATCATTTTCAAGCACGTTGCTCTGTCTTCGGATGGGCCCTGTACTATTGTGTTTGTGATATTGTTGCAGCAATGTGTACAGCTAATGTTACAGCTCTTGACCAGGGAAAGAACTGAGAGGCACAGAGTCGGAGAACAGCCTTTATTCCTCTGGCAGGCTCAGCACACCTAGTGTTACAGCTCTCTTCCTATTTTCTGATCTTCTGATCTTTCTGCCCCCCCCCTTCCTTGTGCTCCTCCTGCTTTTATACCGTTGGTAGGGCTCAAAAAGCGTCCAATCAACAACAAGCTTTAACATCCAATCAAAATCAAGCTTTAATATCCAATCAACAACAAGCTCTAACATCCAATCAACAACAAGCTCTAACATCCAATCAACAAGCTCTAACATCCAATCAACATCAAGCTTTAACATCCAATCAACAACAAGCTCTAACATCCAATCACAAGCAGTGGGATTCAAAAATTATCCAATCAGGATCATGCAAGCAGTGTGGAAACAGGCAGCAGCACACAGGCCGGGGGCATTCTGGCACGTGGGTCCGGGAAGCTCTCTGCCTCAGGGTCCAGCCCCAGCAGTGTGCCCTCCAACTGGCCATGCGCTACGCTGGCCCACGGAGATGCAGAGCAACAGGGAGGCGGCAAGCGGCCGCATCCCGGTGTCCGACATTTTCCATATCAATATGTATAACACCAACTCTGGGAACACTGCTGATTTCTATCTATTTTCAATTTCCTCTGGCCACTGGGGCAAATCATAAGGCGGCCAAGTGAAGGCACCCATTCAGGGCTGTATAAAACAGACTTTATAACAGCATTTTCCCCTGGACATTTGAGGGCCAGAGACAGAACGTCTCTGGAGTGGGAGATTCCTTTGGCCTGTGTTTACCATTAGCCCCTCTCTCATTTGTCTGCCACTTTATCCGTGTGCCCCCCCTCCGGGGTCCTGCTTTCCTGTCATACCTGGTCACATGACCCTGGCTCATCACACATGCTGTAAGACTGAGAGTGAGACGTTGGGAGAACAAGGCATTATTTCAAGTCCCTAAATGCCATGATGTGTGAGCTTCAGATCGTCTTCCAAATAATCTCTCATTTCCAAATAATTACTTGGCTGTTTAAAAATGAAATTTCTATAGCAGTTTGATAACCAACATTAAGCATGAATGAGGTGAATCTGTGGCTGTCAGTGCTTATTTTGCCTGTGAAAGCTTGAACACACAGGTGACTTAGGAAGAACATTGTAATCACTGAGGAAGGTGAGCCAAAGGGCTTTAAGAATGGTATCTGAAGCTCTGATCTTCTCCTTGGATTAAAAACAGGCCCTTTGAAATCAGAGTCCACTATCCGTTTCACTCTTCTCTCTCTCTCTCTCTCTCTCTCTCTCCCTCTCTGACTCCAATCCAACCCTATTCATCTTTATCTTCACGGTGGCCTACCTGCTTCTATGTGAGATGCCATCATCCCAACCAACTCTACACAGCCATTTTCATTTTACGCATGTAAGTCTCTGCTAACTGTCTACCATGTGCCAGTTTGCAAACTGCAAAATGAAGAAGATATTATCTCTCCCTCAGCAAAAATGTGAACAATTAATCCAAAAGAGCAATATTTCCTAAAGTGTGCATGGTCAATAGATTTTGTGCAAAAGAGGGTTCTAAGCCCAAACAGATTTGAATTTATCCAATGTAAACTAGTTCCTTTGTTTCCAAACTTCTCACAACCCTTAATGTGCTAATGACACCAAAGCACATTGGTGCTTTGGTGTCAAATGTGCCATGACTCCAAAGAAGACATAAAAAAATACAATATTTTCCAACCTTTGTTGATTCCAGAACTCTTTTCTCACACAGCATTATATGAACTAGTGTTCTACGGCAGTGGTCCCCAACCTTTTTGATACCAGGGATCTGTTTCATGGGACACAATTTTTCCATGGGCCAGGTTGGGGAGTGGGTTGGTGAGCAATGGGGAGCGAGGCAGCAGCTGTAAATACAGAGGAAGCTTCACTTGCTTGCCCCCCCGCTCACCTGCTGTGCAGCCCAGTCCTAGTAGCCCATGGACCAGTACCAGCCTGCAGCCCTGGGGGCTGGGGACCGCAGTTCTACAGAGTTCTCTTTGGAACTGCACTGACAGCCGTCCATAGGTCTCTCCCTCGTGTGTTCTCTGGGAACACACGAAGAAGAGACCAGTTACCCACACTCCTCCTGGGCAGCGATGTTTCTCCAGCTGATTATATTAATAACATTATATTATACTACATTATATTATATATATTATATTAATATTTAGTTGCTAATTTATTTAGTCACTCAAACACATATGATGGACCTACTCTGTGCCAGGCTCTGTGCCAAACATCATGATGACAAATCTCTGATAGATGGAAAATATTGTTTTCTAAAGGAAATCATCTTTTCTTCCTGCATATTCCCACCATTCTCATTTGAGAACATCATATCACTAACCAGATCCTGCTCATCTACATGCGCGTGTTTTATGCTAGTGCTACCTGGACAAACAACTATCATCAAACCTACAACATGTTACAAGCAGGTTTCCAGAGTTTCCAACTCTCTGCCACCATTTTCCTCATGGCCACTCTCCAAGTTTGAGACTTAAAGCACAGAGCAAACTACTATCCATCTTGGATAGTTTAGGCATAATTCTGTTGGCAAGAGGAAAATGAAACATGATGAACTTCTGATGTTCTTTCCAACCCCAGGATTCCAAGAATATGAAAGAAGCACAGTGATTGTTACAGAAAAGTAACTGTCATCACCCAGCACAAAAAGACAGGGGGAAGTCGTTTCAGTGCCAAGCAACATGCATTCATTTCTCTCTCAATCTTCAGTGACTGAAATCAAATAATTTGTTGGACTATCAGAAACTTTGATATTTTCTGTGTTTTCCGCTTTGCATCATTTCGTCACTTTCCTGCTCACAACTTGCCACTGGAGAAGGTAGGTAAGCTCAGTAGATCAAGTTCACATGCATAAAACTCCTTCTTAGGAGCCTTGGTAAAAGAGTTGACAGCAAAGGAGGCTTAAACACAAGGTTACAATAAAGATGGATTTGGGGTAATCTGCACACTTCAATTATCCATGCCCTCACGCTCCACGACTGACCTAGAGGTACCTGTAGTGCATTCCATCAAACAAAAAATAGTAACAGAGGAAGATTTATAACCTTCTTCTCTAGACAAATACACTTTGAGAATTTTCCTTGAAGTGTTACTGTACATTCTGATATCCAGAGATTACAAAGGGGTAGGGGTAATGGAAAAGCTATGTTTTGCATAATAATCTGATTTTATTTATCTATGCTGTGTTGCTCCTTTTTAAATATGATGTTCTCAAAATTCAGTGTAGTTACCAGCTTTTTAAAAAAGTTCCATTTATGGATTAAAAAGAAAATTCTTCTTCCTACAAGGGGATGGTGACAATGGACCTCTTTCTTCATCGTGACATCTCTGCTCAGCAGGTGTCAGATGTTGGAAGCATTCATCAAGATGAGATACAGGCCAGACACAAAGGCAGAGTATCAAGTTTGAGATATAAGAGATGTCCAACCTATGGAGAAGCACCTTTCTGAGCTTTCCTGTTAAACTGTCATGCTCCTGGACCTCCCAGAAGACTTGGTATTGCCAGGGCCTGCTCTTCTCCGTGGTTTCATGATGGACATGGATTCTGCCCTTGTGACATCTCCCAAACCCAGGCCTTTCCCCTGCCCCCTGCCCTTCTCCCATTGCCATGTCAGTCCAAAGCTCATCCTCCTACTCATGGACCTTGGCATTTCTCTCTCGTGGATTTTCTCACCCCCTACCTCCTTTGTCTCTAATCTATCCTGTTTAATTCTATCAGTCTAGTCGTCTTTAGCAAACCTTCAGAATCTCTCTCTGTGGCAGTCTTACCATTCTCAAATTAATCTTTCTGAGCCTGGCATTGTGGATGCCTCAAAATCTGGCTCCAACCTACCTTTCAAGTTTCTAGTTGTTTTGAGTTGTGACATAGCGCCTGATACTTAATAAGCATTTGTTAGATGGATGGATGGATGGATGGATGGATGGATGGATGGATGGATGGATGGACGGATGGATGGACCATGCTCTAACCTGAAATATGTCCCAATTTATCTGTTTTACCTATTGCCTAAAAAGAGCTATTCTTTCCTACTTATGTGGGTTTTTGTATTATTTTTTTTTCTTATCTAGTATCCTTTCCTATCTACTCTTT